ATTTTAAGATTAATTTGTCTTTTGAAACTATAAAGTTAAAATGTATCTAAAAATGCATATATTTATCTAAATATTTGAAAAAAGGGGCAAATAACTGATACTCTTTATAATTATACATAATTTTAATTTCACTTTCTGTTAATCGTATTATAAAAACATGGAAGACCATTAAATATTTATTCCAGTTTAATTTTATTACAGGTAAAAGTCAGATGAAATTTTAGTGTTTACTTATACAACACTATTTAATAAATAAAAATATTTTCACAGTAAAATTTATGAGCACTAAATGAAAAAACCCAATTTTCCCCGGGTTTTTTCAAATAAAACCCAATTTTCCCCGGGTTTTTTCAATAAAACCCAGGCGGGTTGGGTTTTTTCAAAAATCCCCGGGTTTTTTCAAACCCTGATTTAAGGTAGACTGATTAAATACAATACATCAGTGAATAAGTTTTTGAAAGGTATAAGAAAACATGCATCTCTTTTGTATATTTCTATGCTTTTAAGAAGCTTAAAACGTTTTTTGTAAACGGGTTTGTCAATTAAGTAAAATCAATGGGTAAAATAATTGTGTATTAAGTCTGAGATATTGTGATAAATCTTAACTAACATGAAGATGAACGGATGAAGTTTAGGTTTGCAGAAACGCATCCGCACAACAATGATCGCTGCAGAATATTTTTCATCTCTAGGTTTCCATTTTATTTTTAAAAAGCAAACAAACAAATTCAAATTGCTAAGACTTCTTTGCTATTTGAATACACACTTAAATGTACAGAGATTTAAGCCATTTTTTTAGTATCATTGTTTAAAACTCATCTTAAACTGAAACTACCTAGACTTTTTATGTATAAGTTTTGAAGACGTTATGTTTGAAAATTTTGCAATTTCTATGTTGGATTAGACTAAATTTTACAATAACCTCTAGTCTTACAGGTTCAAGCTGCAGCACAGACAATTCGGCGTTATGAATACAGTGCTGCAGATTAACTTAATAAATTCTGCTACCAGTGGCATAGTTAACTTTTCTTCTGGTAGTTTTGATAAATCTAACACTGAACAGTCCCCAATAAGAGCAATAAATAACAAACAAAAATAAAATCAAGTAATGCATTCAGTGCAGTGCTAAAAAAAGTAATTGGTAATACTGTGATATTAATTCCTCAGAAATTATGTTAAAAATATTAGTGACATAAATAACAATTGAGAATTACAAAGTTGATGAATGGTAAATCTTGACTCTCAAGAATTAGTTCTGAGAAAATAAAACATTTGAAGTTAAAAGTAAAAATTTAATGCAAAAACTTAAGCATGTCTATAAAGAAGTATGTGTAGTAATTTATCCTTTTGTTAAAAAAAAATATTACAAAATAGCAACATTACAACTGCTTATTTAACTGAATTACGTATTGTTCATACAGATTACTTAATGTGCATTTTAAGAGCATTTTTTTCATCAGTATTTTTTACCAGAGAATTTTTTACCAGAACAGTTACAATTTAATATTTTAAAAAAATTATGTCAAATGCATCTTTACAGTATGTTAGATATTTATTATAGAAGACCTCAATAGTCAATTTACAATGAATGATTTTTTTGACATAAAATGTAGGTCATCAATTTACACAATTGCTTTATAGATATAAATAATGGTATTACCTTTCTTCAATTGTTTATCAATATATGCTTTCAATTGCTCTGCTTGGACATTTGTCGATTCCACACTTAAGAAAGCATCGATATATTTCTTTGCCGTGCAATAATTCTGTTAAATGCATGAAAAATTTAATTCAAACAAAGAATTACATTTGAAAAAAAATGAATATAAGCATATTGGATATAAGAAATTATGAAAAACAAAATAGTTGATGAAGAAAAAAATTGCAATATTTTTTAACTTTTTTTAATGGGAGATTTTCAGTTTTCTACAAATTAGTTATAATTATTTTTACATGTGCAATAACCTGAAATAAGTAAAATCATTTTTACGAGTTTAAACTATATAAAACACTCATGGCATTTCTAGCATCCTATCTTTTGGAGAAAAATAAGGAATACGAATACAATCCTTTATAACATAAATGACTGTTGCTGGTTAAGGATACACATAAATCAAGTCAACTAAAATTATCAAAAATAAAAGCTATAATGTACAAAAATGAACTATACAATTTTTAATCCTTAAAGGATGCTTAATTTTTATAATTTTCCATTTACAATGATTAGAATAGATGTGACATTGATCAAAATAATATGAAATTCATCTCTCTCATACACAGCTTAGAATTATTTTTAAATTATCAAGGATAATGGTTTTTTGATTCAGAAATAATAGCTCGGTTAACCACTAGGGAATACGTCAGTATCGGAAATAAGGTTAGTAAAATATGAAAGCTGATAAATTAATACCTTTTGCTTGGTTTCTGCTACAGATAAGTAAAATAAGCTATCCCTTTTAAGTTCTTCTGAGCCTTCTTTAAATATTTCTAAAAAAAAAATTTCAATTAAAAGCAACCCACAACTAAAATTCATAAATTGTCATACAATTTTTTTATTTTTACAAATCATATGATTTTAATTTTTTTAATTTTGAAGAAAACAAAATAAAATGTAATGTAAATACAAACAAATAAATAAAAATAAGTAAACAAAATAAATAAAATGTAAATACATAAAATAAAATGCTGCCTGTTTGATATCTGGCTTTATGCACTCAATATTCCTAAAATAAAAACTAAAATTTGTAACAAGGTGCGTAGCAAAATCTTTCAACAAAAATAAGCACCTTTTATGCACTCAAAAAATATTTTTAAGCACTATATACATTAACAAAATACAAAATAATTTTAAAAGACTTTACATGATCATGATAAAATAACTAGTTTCTGACAAAGAGCTCTTTTTTTAAATTATATTAGCTATTATAAAATGATTAAGAGACTTTTCAGTTCAATATCAGAGGGTGGAAAATGAAGACTGAAATTAAGAATATCTTGCAAAATGTAGCAGAGTTGCAGATGAGAGAGCAAGAATCTCACCAAACCCAGCTTAGTAGACGCACATGCGGACTCACAAGCATTTTATCAAACATGTCAAACGATTAGTGCTTTCATACGCTACCTACCGACGGTACGTCGAAATAGATTGCAGTTGAATGAATTGTAAAAATGTTGAATAGAACAATGTAAAAAGCAAACTTTTGCATAATACATGGTAAAAACAGACACGGTAAAAAAAATCTCCTTTTCAAAAATGGAAAATTAAGCCCTTTTTAAAAACACCCAATAAAAAAGCACCTTTAAGGGAGTTGTAAAATTCATGTTCGAAAAATGATGAACAAAAAATAATTAATAAAAATTGCAAAATGCCTATTTGATAAAAATCTAAAAGCACCTTTTTTAATATGCAAGCTACTGCTTTGCCCATTTAAAAGATTGTTCATCTAAAGAAAGGGGTACCCTATATGATATCTTATTCATAAAAGACTGCCAGGGATTTTAAAAATTGATCATAATGAGACACAACTGCTCTGAAGTATTGGTCTGTAGTTTTACTGCAACATTGTCAAACATTGCAAATATTCATATAGACATATGATTGCTAGAAGATGAAATTATCTTTTCTCAATGGGTAGTTGTTTTATTTTAGAACTTAATTTTTTTCCTCTTGTGCATGGAAGATATTTAAAGAACTGTCATTTTTAAGCACAAAACATTTACAAAATTTAAAGAGAAAGAAAATTTTTTTTATTTAACAATAAGATCAAAACGCATATTTACAATGGAATTAAGTGCATTAAAAATTTATTACTGAAATGCGTGATTCGAGATTTCTATTTAGCAATATCACATTACAAATTAATTCAGCCTAATTATAGCCAATTTTTCTTCAAAGTCAAATCTGCATAGACAAGTCTCTAAAAAATCTGTGTAAAAAAAAAGTCATTATTGTGTGTGAACTTAAGAAAGAAAAAAAGAGGGTGCTGGTAAGGGTGGAATAAATGCTGCGTTAACAAGATTTTGCAAAATTTAACAAAAATAAAATTTTAGATTAATGAAACCCTTAGAAATTTTTGTCGGAATATAAATTATTATTGCGCAGAAGAACCACAAGCCTGTTTATAATATGATATTATTTGAATACCGGAGCATATTTTACTAAAAATTGGAAAAACCATCAAATATATATAATTGATATAAAATAATTTTTTAAAACTACATAACATTAGAACACAGACATTTTTATAAAATAAATTAAAGTGTTGGTCTAATAAAATTAATTATACCTTCAAAGAGAGCAGAAGCTTTTTTCAGGTCTGATATTTTTTTACTATGGGTTAAGCACCATGCATATTGGAATTTAACTTCAGGGTCAACATTATTGGTAGCCAATTGCGCTTCATAATTATTACGATGCTCCTAAAATGAATATATGTGCATAAAACATTATGAAATTTGCTCACTATAGTAATAAAAAGAAAACAGAGAGAAAATAGGTAGGTAGGTAATTTATGTATGTCGCACTAGAGATGCGCAATGAGCTATTGACGACGGTCTGGGAAACATCCCTGAGGATGATCTGAAGACACGCAGGGGTCTGTCCAGACAATTTGTGAAAGGTCCGTTTTTCGTGAAATTGTGAAAAAATTACTCACATTCTTTCAACCAGGGTCCGCTTTTATGAATTTGTGTAAATAGGGTCCGGTTATTGCAAAAAACTTTTTCAAGGACTTTTTAAATTGTAAATAGATACAAGATTATGCTCGGCACTGTAAAATTATAATAAAGCAAATTAAATTTTCAGAAATAAGCAGCAATTGCTGCTTCTAAATTAAAAATGCAACATGCAAATATTTGGTATTTAGCCTATACTGCTGATCGCAGAATATTCATTTCGAACGAATAATGGAAGAATCGTCTGCCGAAGACAAAACTTAATTCGCTTACATACATCTTTCTTGTTTTCTGCCCTTGGAAGGTTTATTCGATTAACGAAACAATAATGAAGATATACAAATTTGTGAAGGGTCCAATTAAAAGAAAAATTATTTTGTGAAGGGTCCGTTTTTAAGTTAAAATATTTCGTGAAGGGTCCGTTTTTATGAAAAGATATTTTGTGAAGGGTCCGTTAACGGACCCAAATTTCCTCTAAACAGACCCCTGACATGCCATTGCAATTTTGATCCTCTGCAGAAGGAATGGCTCCCCTGTTTAACAAGGACCAATATCGTGCACCCTCGGTCCCTACGCAAGCTCATCAAAGTGGTCAGACCACCCACTTTCTGACCACAGCCAGTGATGCTTGACTTTGGTATTCTACTGGGAGCAGTGTCTTTATGATGAGTCCACTGGGGGACGAAAATTGAAGATAAACATCTGCATTTACTTTCCTACGAATTCAAACCTAATCGATTGAATGCAAAACAGATTTTTATGCACAGATCTCTAAATGCACAGATACTTTAGAATTAAATTTCAAATGACCCATTAAAGAAGTTTTTTAAATGGCACAGTGAAATTTATTTCTTAATAACTTCAAACAAAGTGCTATGAACATTAAATTTTAAGGGGTGGGATGAAATTGAAATATACAGAATAGTTATTTAAATTCAACATTTAGTGACAATAAACAGAGTGTAAATTAATATTATTTATTAAAATAATGAATATGTAACAGAATTAATCTTCATACCATAAATGTCATTAAAATGAAGACCAAAGAATAACAGAAAGTAAAAACACAGATTTATAAAAATAATTGTGGTGATTTTTTTTTCTGGCTAAAATAACAGGGAGAAAAGTATATAAAATAAAATTCCCTTTTAATTTACAAATTGAAAATAAAAGATTTTTGCTTTAACCAATTCATTAAGCCACTATAGTAACTGATTTTCACAACCACATAAATATAAATTTAAAAAAAGGAAGTGCTATACTAGTGATTATTTCATTTTAGATAGCTTTGATAAATTATAACTGTAACATCGGACACAAAGCATCATGCTTTAATATTTCTATTATTTAAAAATTTTACTGGAAAGCAAGAACTTCCAGAGAGTTAAGCATAATAAAGACAGAAAATAAATAAATTGGTTATATAACAAACAACAGGAAAATTGCAACAAGAATTTGACTTGGTTTAAAACACTATATAACTTAATATTGATAATAACAAAAAAAATACATGGCTCTAAAACCTAAGTATATCTATTATTTATAGATTTTAGTAGAAAACCGGTTTATTTTTTAGAAGGTCAAGATAAACAAAATATTAACAGAAAATAAATAAATTTATCAGATGACTAACATTAAAAAATATGCAAATTATATTAATAATTTAATTTGTTTGTATAAATAATAAAGAAAGAACGAAAAATGAGCATATCTATGATTGATAAATATTGCTTGAAATGAAGTTTAAGGAACTAATAAACCATTAGAGATCAGATAATTAATAAATTTTACAGATAACTAACAATAAATTAACTTGTTACTACCAATAATTAACAAAGGACATAAATCTGCATTGATATAAAACTAAGCAAAGCTCCGTATCTATTATTTACAAATTTAAGAGTGAAAAAAAATTTATTTCTGGGAAGAAAATAACAGAAAATTATTAAATTTGCCAGATAACTAACTAACCAACAATAAATGAACCAATAATTAACAAAAGAATTAACAAACACCTATAATTAACAAAGGAATTAAGAGTGCATTGATAAAAAATTATGCTGTCGTTGTAGTTCATTTACGTCACGAGCTGCACAATGGGCTATTGGTGACGGTCTGGGAAACAACCCTGAGGATGATCCAAAGACATGCCATCACAATTTTGATCCTCTGCAGAGGAGATGGAACCCCAGCTTCCCCAGCCCGACGGCCTGCACATGAAGTCGAGCACTTTACGGTAGAACAGTTTAACGAGGACCCATACCACACACCCTCGGTCCCTACGCAGACTGATTCCAAGTGGTCACCCACCCGCACACTGACTTCGGTGATCGGCTGGGATTTAAAAGTAAATAGAAATAAATTTAATAGTTTTTCAAGTTAATTTTTTCATAAAAAATTAGAACGAAAAAAAAATAAAAAGAGAACCTGAACCCTGACCTGACACCTGAGCATATCTATTATTTACAAATACTACCTGAAAAATATTGTTTTTCTTTTTGATAAGAAAATAAGAACAAAAGACATATTGACTGATCACTAAAAAAAGACTTAGTTGCACAAAGTACATAATTAAACACAAAATCCATTTATAACTTTTGATCTGGTGAACGGATTTTCACGCACTATATGCTATCTTAAAGATTCGGAAGTCTAACCTTTAATAATTAGAGAAAGCGATATTTTAAATTGCGTATTTACTCACAAAAGTGAAAAGTTTTCACTGAATGAGCAAATTTGTTTTTTTTTTGTATGCATTTATTAATTAGCACATTTTACGTCGATCTCCAGATTACATGTTAGTACATGAAAATCTGAACATCGAAGGAAAACTTATTTGCGTGTTTTTATATTTTTATTTAAAGTACAAAATAAAAAAAACAAAGAAATAAAAGTTATTTTGATATTAAATAAGCAAATCTCTAAAACCTGAGTATCTTCATCAGAAACAGAGTAGTTGAGAAGTGTTTTCATATCATCTTCATCCAGAAACTCTAAATGAGTTACATCATTTGACATTTTTCTTCTTCTTTTATCTATTAATATGTTAAAAATTAATATTCCAATGTTAATCTTTCAAGCACTAGACTTCAGCTGGGATAAAAATTTATATTAATAAAGTATAGCTAATTATTATATTACTTTTCGTCACGCAATAGGTTTTGATTTGAAATCATACGATCAGCTTGTTTATTTATTATTACGTTTCCGTCTATCCAGTTTTGTTCGGTCACAACTCTAATTAAGTTCTAATAAGCAGATTTTAAGTGACGTCATCTAAAGAGCCATCACGCACTTCGGATAACAATCTAGAGAAAGGAATCTGATTGGTGAGTGTTTCGCTGGACGATACATTTCACCAATCAGGTTCTCATTCTTCCTGGAGGAGAGAGGAAGTGCGAGATTTGCATGCAAGGAGAATGACATTTAAAATACAGGCATCTAATGGGGGAGAGCCTTAGTTTAAATGTTTAATATGAGAAACTGTTTACGTTTTGGCTTACACAAAACTCGATTTACTTTACGTTCTGGTTTTACTAAACTCTGTTGGAAAAGCAATATGGTCCATTCCCCCTGGTATCGGAGCCACAGACGGTTCTTTGACACTAAAATGTGACAGGCAGGGACAAACTGCTCTCAGTGGCCATCTCAGAGCTATGTCCCTCTCGGATGGTTTTAGAATTTATGACGTATGCACCAGATGCTCCTTTGAACAGGTTTCCCCAACTCACAACTTGAAGTAACAGTGTGAGTCAACGTAATGTCTCTAAAAATGCTTGATCACCACCAACTCTGTTTAGTATTTAAAATTAATTAAAGTAATAAGCGAAAGAGTTACGTACTATGGGAGAACAGTTATTACGATCTTCTTGGTACTTCATCAATGATCTTGATCTTCCTGAGGCTCTTTGGCTTCATGGACCTAGTCTAGCCCTGCTGACTTTTGGGATGGCAACAACAAAATTTTAAAGTAAACATTTTAGGATACCATGATTATAAACTATCAAAAGAAGATATGCTTTCTATGGAGTCAGCATTGTTGTAACTGTTATTCAGTTTATACTATTACTTACAAATTATATTTTTTTGGTTAATCCGGATATAATTTTTTAGTTAGCTTCTGAAACTTATCTCCACGACTCTAAAAGCTTTTTTCATAAAGCTATAAATGTAATTAATATAAAAACGAATTCGTACAAAAAATATTCAATAATTATAATTTAAATAATTTAATTCAATAATGTTACAAAAATTTAGGTATGATATCGAAATTTTTAATCAAAGAATGAAAACGATTTAATCGAATTCAGAAGCCAAATTTGTCTTAATTTTAACAATTTAGAAACACAAATAAAGCAAAAAAGGAATTTTTAAAGATATGTGTGTTATAGCAAAAACAGCACTTCATCAGGGCAATAACGTACGGAAGTCTTTCTGACGCCAGTGGTAATACCAAAACTGATTGTGCCCCGAGGCCCCATAATGGATAAACTAAATAATAAAATACATATTAAAATGAAACTAACCATTACGGCAACAGGCCGTAATGGTTAATCTTGGCATCCACAGCAAAAATTCTTAAAATTACTTCTCAAAAATAAAAGTTTTTTTTTCTCCAAACAAAAAGAGGCAGGCTTACTACCGCAATCAAATTATGTTTATACCGATACGCGTAACGTAAGACCGAAACAAAATTTTCAGAAAACTGAATGTTCATATCTTTGAAAAATTCATGCAAACAAATATGTTTAAAAAGCTAATCTATATTTTAAATCTAAAATATAATTAAAAACATTTCCTTTATTTTAATTTTTTCGAAAAATGTCACCCTTATGAGTTAACAAACATTATTTTCAAGCATTCTTTTATTTGAATGCATACATATACTGAAAGAAATTTTATGTTTAATTCAAACACTACACTTTATATTGCTATCCAGGAACTATCTGAACATGAAACGTAAATTTTCCTAACGTTAGTTAGGGTTCGTATACATTTTCTTCTCTCTGATATAAATGTAAGGTTCGCATAAGTTTAATTTTATTACAGCAGAGATTTGTTTGATTTGTTCATTTTACGTCGCACTAGACTTAACGATCAGTCCACTGCGGGACTATTACAGCAGAGAAGATTAGATTTACAAATTACGATTATTTAGATTTACGAATTTCTGAGAGAACAGAAATAACGTGTGAAATCAGTGTTGGAGAAGGACAATTGTCCATTGATGTGATTTAAGGTAAACCAAAACCATATATAATGTGGGAAAAAGATTATTAAATTTCTTTTTTTTTTCTTTCCTAAATAACGGTAGGGGAAAATTGCTGCACATTGTTAGAAAGGGACTTCCTGAACAAAAATTTTAACATGTTATTTTTAAAACTTTGTATTTAAACTTTTTTCAGTAGATATTAGGTACTTAAACTAATATAATGTTATGCATGTTACGCTCTTATATATCTTAATGGGAAAAATTATGAGAAAACTATATTTCATCTCTATTAAATTTCTATTATGAGAAAGCTATAACTTTTTAGATATAAAGGCAAATGAAAAATGGGGCTAACGAATATCCATTTAAAGAGTTTTGAAAATAAAAAATCATCAACGAATGCCCCATGCAATGTGCTGTCTTTACAATATATATATATGTATCATAGAATTATTAAAAACGGGTCATAGCTTTGTAGTTTTACTGGAATCCTAGACTTTACGACATATTTCGATAAATAACATTCGTTCTTTAAAAATAAACTATATGACGTTAAAAAGGGTTGTATTTGATTAGAGCACTAAAAATGACGCATCTTATACTGAACTCGCACTTAACAAATCAAATGCGAGATAAATTGTGACATTGGGCGATTCCATGAAAAAGGGGAAAAGCATCGGAAAATTCAAATAAGAATAATGTTATTATTTTGGATTTTTTCTGAATTAGAAAGGTTTGAAGTTTGATAATTTATAAAAATTTTTTTTGAGAATTCAGTTTTTTAGTGTTGGTGCCCCATTGAACATTGGCATTTGCTTGTTCTGATTTGGGTGAAGAGCATGGTCAGATTCTGAAAATCAGTAAGTTAACATTATCTTCCTTTCAAAATGTTCCAAAGAATAAATATTGTTTATTACACTTAGTAGAAGTATTGTGCAGTGTTAAAAGAACTTTTTGTTGTTAAATTCACTTAATTATATAAATTTCAACTTAACATTAATGCATGTAACGTAAAATTATCTTGAAAATAGTAGGAGATATTAAGAAATATTTTAAGTAAAAGTTATTTCTTTTCAAAAACTCTCCAATGATGCCAAATAAGATATAGGTTTCTATTTAAAAAAGATATGAAATATCGTGTATATGAAAGACTTCTCGCTGTTGTAGAGTGTAAATCTTCAACCAGACAGAATGTGTTTTCCTTAGTGGATTCAGTTTTAAAGTCTTGTAATATAGATATAACAAAGTGCATCGGTAATTCAACTGACGGGGCTGCAAATATGCAAGGTGAATATAAAGGATTTTCGTCATGGCTTTCCAAAGAGTCCCCTGGTCAAATTCATGTTTGGTGTTATGCACATGTCTTTAATTTAGTTTTAGGAGATACCACGAAGGCACTAATTGAAAGTGCATCGTTTTTCAGCCTACTAAATAGCGTCGCAATATTTTTTCGTGAATCATACCAACGCATGAACATCTGGGAACTAAGTAACGAGCACGGAAATAAAAAAGGGCTCGCAACTATTGGAGAAACACGTTGGTGGTCCAAAGATTCTGCATTAAAGGAAAATTTTGGTTAATTTTCAAACTCAGATTCAACTATTAAGCCGTTATATGTCACATTGATTACATGTTTGGAAACTACAAGGGGTGATCAAATGAAGAGGTACAAAACGACAGGGTGGATACATATGTAGACTTTATTCAAAATATTCACCATAGGCCTAAGCACAACGATCGAACTGATGAACAAGCCGCAGGATTCCTTGTTCCCAAAATTCCTGTGGCCATGACGAGAACCAGTCCTTCACAGCGTCCTTGAGTACGTCGTCCGAGTTGAAGCGTTTCCTTTTCAGGTGCTTTATCAGTGGAGCAAACACATGGAAATCGCAATGCGACATGTCCGGACTGTAGGGCGGATGGTCCAACGTCTCCCACTTGAACTTGACCAGTTCCATGTGTGTGACTCTGGAGACGTGTAGACGAGCATTATCATGGAGCAGAACCACACCTTCCGTGAGCAGTCTCGGTCTTTTGCTCTTCATGGACCTGCGTAAGTGTCGGAGTGTTCCGCTGTCAGAAATCGGATAACACCTCGCTGTTCCTCAACCGTCGAATTTTGCAACGCGAACGGCATCCTGTTCTCATACGGACTGCTGCATCATTTGGACGCCGCTTTTGATAAGAGCCTCTGCTCTCTCCAGCGCATGCTCCGATCTCAGTCAGAGACTCCAATCGCATCCCGAGATGTCTCGCTACGTTCTCCCATGGCGGAATATGCAAATATTTAACTGTTACGATTTTACGTCGTTTCGTACCTTTCCATTTGATCACTCCTTGTATACAACAAAATTCAAATTTCAAACCAGATATACGTGCAAAGGCAAAAATATTTTTAGAATCATGTTGCAAATATGAAACAGTAATCACCGCCAAAATATTTTCAAGAATATTTGAAATAACTACACCGCTCTTTGCAAACCTCTGGTTTAGACATCTTAAAAGCTTTTGGAATGGTATCACACACGTGTTCAGAACTAAAAAAAAAATAGTGAGAGATTTTGAAGGTGTACAAAAAGTTACAGATGATTTCATTATTCGCGCAAGTAAGGAACTTGAAGAAACGGAAATTCAAACAAAGTTTCCATAAAAAAGATTGAAGAAAAGAAAATTGATGCCGGGTGAGACAGCGTCGAATGAAACAGTTTTTGATAATGAAACCACTGCATTTAAGATAAACGTCCATAACATTATTTTCAGCACAGTTGTAGCGTCAATGGAACGCCGATTTCCGGCAAATGGAAAGTTGTACACCGATTTTTCCTATCTAGATCCGAAACGTTTCCCTGAAAAATGTCTTAACAAGCTTCAATCTGGCGAACTAAATGAGTTAAGCAAACTCTTGCTAAAATTTGACGAAACAGCTATAGGTGAAAATTTGCAGATTGAACTAAGAAATTTAGTTTTACGTTGGGAAAAACTGAAAAACTCAGACTTAGAAGATTATAAAATAATCACAGATCATTCAAATGAAGATA